GTTTAGGGTTTAGTCCGGCCGAGTGGCCTTCGGGTAGTAGCTATGCCACCAAAACATCACATGGGTCCAAATGCATGTCTGAAAGTGATGTGGCATGCGTAGACGTCTGTCTTGGTGCTCCGGGGTGTGCCCCTCTCCACGGACCACACTGTCGCCGTCACTTGGCGGGGGGAATCGTGTGCGTCGGGTAGAGCCGGAGGGAATCTAGTTGTTGGTGGGTCCAGACTGTGTTCGGGGATGTTCCTATGGGCTGACCTATCGCAACCAGGTGGAAGAGTCCACTGGTCAAAGCCCCTCCGGCGAAAGTCAAAGGGTTAGATCGCATGATCAACGGGGCTTCGTTGTGGCCTTCCGGATACACAGGAAATACGATCGGTCCTGTACCACCACACTAGTGTGCGAGCGTGATTCGCGGCACGATAGCTTTCTTTCCCTTCCCCCGACGGACGCTATAGCTCCATTCATGGCTGCTGCTGTGTGGTGCGCAACGTACTGTCAAGGATCACTCCCGCGCCGCCCCGCCTTCCACGGAACCACTCCCCACCGCCGGTCGTCCGCCGCCCCGGCCATCCCTCTAGGTCCGTTGCGCAGAGCTTTTTCTCCGGCGAATCCCCACGCCATCACCCCACCACCACGCCCCACCACCGCCCTCACCTTGAACCCTAAGATAAATACTGGGTAGCCTGTCCGGCGAGCCCCCTCCGCATCGGCTGGTTCTTCCTTCCCTCCGACGAAAAATTGACTGACTCAAAGTCGGATCAGGACTGAAGTGTAGCTAAACTGCTAGCTGCTTCTGTTTCAAACGAACATGCACTACATCTCAATCTTCGATTAGTTACCTACATACTCTTCGCGCTCTTTTTTTAACCTAACTAAGCATCGTTACATTTCTTGACTTAGTCAATGATGGTGTGGACGAACTTTGTGTGATGGATGTGAGTGGTGAAAGCTGTATTGGACGTATTTGTTCCGCACAACACTTACACATGCACCGATGATTTCCGTGTGCACGAGCACGGCGGCGCCGTCATACTCGTCCCCGCAAGTCGTTCCTCTGCAACCACATACACTACATGCGGAGCTCATGGAGCTGGCAGTACAAGGCGGCGAACGTCGATCGGGCTCAGTCCACTAGCCATGTATCCCAATGAAATGATACTACTAGCCATGTATCTTTTTATTTTGATTGATTTTTGAGGTAGCTACATGCTTATTTCAAGCAGTAACTAGCCATGTATCGAAATGCATAAAACAACATCTGAAATTTTTGTGCACCAATTTTTGGTCGGAACAAAATTATATATGATGTTTTTTTATAACACACACGCAAAATTATATATTGGTCTCATGTTTTTGGTACCGGTCCAATCTCTGTTTGATACTTTTCAGTACTTCTGTTTGGGTAACTCCTATTTTTGCACTACTCGATTAATTTCGTTTCGGTAAGACGGTAACTCCTATTGTTACGTGAGGATGAAGATCACCACAGATTACACCTGAGCTGAAGTATTCATTTTTTTTCATGGGACAGAACTGAAGCAATCATTGTAACAGTCGGACTTCATCGCATGTTCGTGACGAAATAATAGTCGAACCGTGCACATCATCCAAGCGTACAACGACACGTAGTATGAATGGCAAAGTTGAAAAAGTTTGCTTGCTGCCAGACCGATAGTAGCATCGATCGAAGAAGCGAGCGACCCCGTCGGTCGTTTAGTGCTGAATTGCTGAATCGTTCTGGCAAAGGCTGGCTGTGATGGACCGAATTGGTGCAAAGAGTTTGGTGGCCTTGTGCAATATCCGGAGATAGCAAAGGAGCGGGCTTCCCTTTTCTTTCTTGGTAAAAGAGGCTCACAGTCGCCTGACGGTGGTACTACAGCTAGCTAGCATCCATGCATATACATTGGAGTGAAGTCTATTTTAAACTTTGAGGTTGTAGAGCTCGTTCAAAATGAACCCCCACCTCAAAATCCCTGAAGTTTGCACCCTGTATTCATGATCCTGGTCTGATCCCGACCCTCACAACGAGTTTAGACCAATTTGGTACATCAGGAAAAACACAATCCCGCTGGAATAACTTTCTACTCTCACTGATTAAGTGGACCCACGCGTCATATCCATCTTCGCGCTGGGAACGGATGCATGCGTATATATACGCGTCTAGCCGGCCGTCAAGCATGTTGTGTTGTACTGTACGTGCGTGTGTGTTCTGCTGTGTACTTGTGCATGATTGATTACCTCGTAAGGTGCTTGGCTCTTGTATTATTTGTGTCTCGCCGTACTGGTCACTGCGGCGACCGACGGCGTTCGCTGCACCGGCAAGATTGGCATGCACACACTGCGGCGAATTCCATTCCTCGCACTGGCAATACCTGCATCGTTTGCTTTCTTTGCTTGCACTCAATGCTCGTTCACAGTGGCGACCCGGAGAGCAACTCCTGGCTGGACATCTCGGCCACACGCGCTCCCGGCGACCGCGAGGCCCAGCTTCCCGCCAATGCCTTAGTGTATGCAGAGCTCACAAGTTCAGAGTGTCTCGATTGGATGTTGCTGCGCGTATGCCAGGGCGTTAGTGTCGCTGGCGGCGTTCGGTATCGGTTGCAACCCATGTACGCGTTCTAGTCTGGCGGAGGCCCCCGGTGGGCAAGGTATGGCGTCTGCCATACCTTAATTGGATGCAAAACATTTTTTATATGTATGCATCTTAGTCTCGCCGGACGCTGGCTAAGCTAATTCGCTGGCTACGCTAATTAGAGTCGTTAGGAAAATCGCTAAAGACGCTGAGAAAAGACCCGTTCGGAACTAATTAATGGGCCATTGAGGCAGTTGGGCCAAGAGCGGTTGAGCCAGCGCCCGATACAACGAACGGCACCGTACCTCTCGCGAGAGGACGCACACGCCCCACTCGACACTCCCAAACCTATCGCGGCGGCGTCGGCTGGCCAGGAGGATGCGGACCGGCGGCGTCGAGCAAGCGGGCGGGTGGGCGCTGCCGCGCAGGGCGCACTGCCCAACGAGCGGCGGCTGAGGGTGTGGGCGGCAACAGCGACAGATTTTCCCCCAACATTAGAGATGATGTTATGTTTACTTATATATGAATGGGTCCAACTCGGCCAACTAGTCACAATTGCTACTACTGTCTACTGGGTGCAACGGCAACAGTTAAAAGGGCCTTCTCATCAATGAAAATCATTAAGACTGAATTGCGTAGCAAGATGTCTGATGGATGTCTTAATGACTTAATGGTGATTACATTAAGCAAGGGATCTTCAAAAGTATTCATCTAAGTAAAATTAAGGAAGATTTTCAGAAGGAGGGTAGGGCACTGCCATTTCCTGGGTCTTCTAGACGCCACTGAAAGCTTCATTACCGGTATGTTTTAGGTTGTTTTTCTATTGAAAATTTGAAATATGTCTAAATTTTCATTGTATTTGCCTATTCGTTTGTAGTGTGCATTGTTAGTGTGTATTGCCTCTTTTGGTTTGCATCAAAAAAATTATTTGCTTGAGACTTCGCCACCCCTTAATTTTTTTTCGTCCTCCGCCTCACTTCTAGATGTCGAGGCAAAGCCGGGAAAACTTGTGGTGGCAAGCAACTCTGAACTCTTGCTATCCTGCACTCACGACGAGAGCATGGACTCCTCGGCATGAGGGGCACTGCCGACGCGCGGCCCGGATGCTGGCGTGGACTGGAGCAGCGCACAACGTTGTCTGCAATTATGGGCACGACGGCGCACGGCACCGGCAACGCGGCACAGACACGGCTGCGTTGATTTTAGGAGAGAGACACACACACTAGGGATAAAGGATAGATTGACACATGGGGTAGGGATGTAAGTGAGAGTAGACTCTGACCCTGGACGGGATGGAATGTTTCCCGGTGCGCCAAACAGGTTCGGGGTCGGGATCAGACCAGGATCATGAGTATAGAATACAAACTTCAGAGATTTTGAGATGAGGGTTCATTTTGAACAAACTCTACAACTCTATGCATTGCAATTGCATTGTATCCATGCTTGGGCCACCATTTGCCTTTGCACCGCAAGTACGTACTCCTAGCTAAGCTAGCTCACGCCTCAAAAAAAAAAGAGAAAAAAGTAAGCTAGCTCTCCATCATTGCATGCACATGAGTCACATAACCACACTCGGAGTACATGCGCGATTGCGCGCTGGAGATGGACGGTGAGGTGATATATCGACCATATACAGAAGAGACTGACAATCCAGCAGCAGCAGCAGCAGCAAACATGGCACAAAGCGCAACTGTAAAACAGGTCTTGCTTGCCATTTAGTTATGGCCAAATTAAGAAGATCGACGGAGAAACAAACACACCGGCCGTACATGCATGGCTAGAGAAACTCTAGATCGAGTACGTAGTAGCAGTAGAGAGACCATGCAATGCCTGCTGCTCAAGCATGCATACCGTACCAATACATACCATGCCTGCTGCTAATTAATCAGCTCCATTACAACTAATATAGAAGCTCAGATCGAATGACCAGACACACGCGGACGCAACACTGCACACTTATTTTGCACACCTCCAGCCAGGGAAGGCTCGATCGATCTGGACCCGGCCGATCCTGACCTCAGACCGCGGCGTCGCCTGCGCCTTCCGCTCCCTGCTGCTCCAGGTCGCCGGCCATGCAAGCCCGGATCTTGTCGGCGATGATATGGGCGATGAGGCCGAGGATCCCCATGGTGCCCAGGAGAGCGGGGATGGCCACCGCGCCGCAAACAAAGCCCTCGAGAAAACCCTCATCGTATGGACTCATGGCCACCACGCCGATGAGGCTTAATTACGTGGTAGAGTTGGAAGAGGACGGCCGGGGTGGGTCACTTATAAACAGAGACGTTGCAAGAAGACTCGTGATCGTATGCATGCAGTGCGTACGCTTTTCTTTTTCTTATTTCCAATGTGAGTCGCGACGTGTGTAGACATCACATGTATCAGCTTGCAGCGATCGCCCTCTCCCTCCTCCTCCTCGTCGCCGCGGCGCCGGCCGCCGTCACCTGTAGCGAGGAGCTTGCTGCAGTGCTCCAGTGCCACCCGGCGCCGGCGCTCACGGACGCCGCGGACGGCGCGGCGTTCCGCGCCACCGTCCTGCCCCTCCTCGCCGCCCTCCCCTCCGCCGCCGCGCCGACGCGCTTCGCCTCCCTGCATTCCGACGGCGCGTTCGCCCGGGGGTTCTGCTTCGGCGACTCCGCCACGCCGCCTTCAGACTCCGACTGCGTCCGCTGCCTGTCCGACGCCGCCAGGAACCTCACCGCCGGCTGCGGCGCCACCAGCCGTCGCGCCGGCATCTTGAGCCAGGGCTGCTCGCTCTCGTACGCCGACACCAACTTTTCCTCGCCCGGCCAGGACGCCTTCCGAGCGCGCTTCCACCTGGCGCTCCCGAGCGACGCCGCCGCCCCTGCTTCTGACTCTGAGACCAGCGCCGGGGTCCTCTACTCCGCCGGCCTGCACGCCGAGCTCGTCGCCATGGCGCAGCTCATGGCGCAGCGCGCGGCCGGAAGGCTCTCCAAGCCGGTGATGCCAGCCAGCACGAGGGTGGTTCACAAAACCATCGTGGAGAAAGGCTGCGGCTGCGGCTGCGACTTCGCCATCGTGAGCAGCACGGTCCGCGTGCGGGTGCAGTGCGCCGGCGACCTCACGGCGGCGGACTGCGCCGGGTGCCTGCAGGACTCGGCGCAGGCCGTGGGCTGGGACCTCGACGCGGCCCGCGGCGGCCGCGGTGGTGGATTTCAACTGCCACGTTCGGTTCGATGTCTCCACCGCAGCGACCAGAGTGATGACCCCAGCGACCACAGCGGCCGTGAGTTCTCGATCCTACTAATGGCCTAGGATCTTTCTTTCCTTTTCCTTTCATTCAAAAACGAATGGCACTGACACACAACAAATTTTGGTTTCCACACAGTTCTCCGTGTAGGCCTTCTAGCTTTGATCATAGCCAACTTCATTCTGATAGTAGCCAACTACTGCACTCCTTCTCGCCGTCGCCGGTGAAGAGAACACAACACCGGCAGGTACTCTTTTTCTTTTTTTTCTTTTTTTCGTTTTTGCTTTTGCTATATTTCTTTACTCATGCACAAGGGGAAAAATGCAACAAAATCGTAGCATATTCCAGTTTTGTTACATACATACTCATGCATGTTGGCCACTCTCGATTGTGCATGGAGTATCTTCTTAATAATCTCCAGAGGGTCGGTGACAAAGATGATGAGAAGCGAGAACAGGCTACAGCAATCCGCAAAATAAGAAGTTCAAGAGTGTGGCGCTTCATGTTACTAGTAAGCGTGCACGTGCAATGCACGTATAACCGTGAGAAAAAGAAAAATCTTCCGTGTAAGCATATTTTTTACATGTACGTAATGCATGGTGTATGGATTCTGCAAAGAGGAAGTTAAGTACTTCCAGGGAATGGACTCTAGCATGTAGTATTGCTAATTAACATCTCCTTGTAAACGATATGAGCATTATTTGAGGAATAAAGTCTAATTTAGATTAAAAAATTAACATGGTGAAAAATTATATTTGTTATCCGACTGATATTGTAAAAGACTTGTCGACTTACATGGAGCAGGGCGGCATAAAAACAAACATAGTTATGGCTAGTTTTGTTGCTATTCATAAATATTTTCCGTGGCTTCTGGTGAAGAATGAAGTCCGTAAACCGGTGAAAATAAAAATAATAGGAGAGTGGTGATTTTGCCATAGAGCGTTTCTTTCCTAGTAAGCTCTGGCACAAACTGCGGCCCAGAAATTCATCTCATTCATATTTGGTTAGTTTTGCAGACATGTAATTCATCTCATTCTTATTTGGTTAGCTTTGCACACATGTAGCCAATTCATGCACAAATGCCGGTGGTGAGGAATATAGGAAATACATAAATAAAAGCATATCACCATATCACGTATCATTTGAAAACTGCATTATCTAATTGAACTACAAGATATAACCGTAGTGGGACTTTTGCCAAAATGACATATATGAGCCATCATCTCATCTCACAAAACCTCGAAACTTCAAAAATTATATCTAACCATAACAAATTTATCGTTTGAAAATGGGTTGTAATATTTGGCACGTGTGCCATATAAGCAAAACTGCCACACTTCTACTTTTTTCATTTTAAAGTACCACATGATCCCTCGTCCTTTGACCTCGCCTCCTCCCAAACGACCCCGCGGGCTCGCCCGAGAAACTTGCTTCTCCCGCACATCTCGAGTGCCCACCCCCGAGAAAACTGTCACTTCTTCACGTCTACCATATGATTTCTCCTCAGGACAAAGTTACCATGGTATTTGTATGCAAGTTATCAGGCCTGTGTTGCATAACTTACCGTGCTATTTACATAGAACGTACCATGTACTATGCTTCAACAACTACACCCCTTTAAAGTTACCACTGTGTTTTGTACACAAGTTATAAGGTCTTTGATGTGTAAAATACCGTGGTACTTACACATAAGTTATCAAGGTATATGTACATCAACGTCCCTCCGGTCAAAGTTACCGTGGGGGGTTGTACATGAGTTACCGGGTCTACAGTTCGTATATTTCATGGTACTTGCACCTAAAAATCTGGGTGTGTTTCGGTAGCTTTTTCCATAGGTCAAAAATTACCATTGTGTTTTTGCATAACTTATCACGCCTATAGCACGTGTGCCCCTCATGACACTAAACATTATGTGACTTTCCCGTGGCACGCCATGTGTTGTGTTCATCCAAGAGGCCCACGCGCTATGCGAGTGTATGTTTTTAACAACTTATTTTCCTTTGGTAAAGGAGTTACCATCATGTTTATATTGCAAGTTATCGGTTATGCGGTGCTTATATTATCATGTTATTTACACAAAAATTATTGTGGATGTTTTGAACAACTTTTTCCCGGAACAAAAAGTTATTATGGTGATTCTAGGTAACCTATCAAGCCCGTAGTGCTTAAAATATCATGCTATTTACACAAAATTTATC